TGGAGCCGACACGGGAGCGAGCTCTGGGGCTGGAGCCGACACGGGAGCGAGCTCTGGGGCTGGAGCCGAAATGGGAGCGAGCTTTGGGGCTGGAGCTGAAATGGGAGCGAGCTCTGGGGCTGGCAGGCTTGACACAGTAACCGCCGGGCTTGCCATAGGAGCGGCCGGCGGACTTGACTCGGGAACGGCCGGTGGGGTCGTTGGGGTACCGCTCTGGAGGCCCACTGCCCCGTGTCTGTCCTGAGGGACCTCCAGAGCGGTACCCGTTCGCGGCGCCATGGCGGACCAGGAGACTCAGGAGGCCATGGCGGAGCAGGGAGCACAGAGAGCCATGGCGGAGCCGGGAGCTCAGGAGGCCATGGCGGAGCAAACAGTTCAGGAAGCCATGGTGGAGCCGCCTCCAAAGCCGCGGCCCCAGCCCCCGCCCCGGCCTCTACGGCTGGAGCCTTACTAGCCCCCCTCCCACCCCCCTTCCAAAAAAAAATCCTTGGGGGGACTTACGGGGCTGAACTCGGGGCCTGGAGCCTTCCCTGGGCTAAACGGGGAATCAGGAGCCCTACCTGGGCTAAACCTGGCTCGGGACCGGACACTCCCCAGACACAGGAAGATCCCTTTGCTCCATCATAGTCCCTTGGTGTCTGGGAGGTCCATGGGGCGATGGTAGTTTGCCCCAAGCCAGAACAGAGAGTTGATGGTAGCGTCCTCCAATGCCGATGCCGCGGCGAGCCCACAGAATTCCCTGGCGTACACGAAGAACGGGAGATCTTGGCGGGCTAAGGCGGCGAACCGAGCAGCTATCTCCATTGCCGCGGGAAAAAATGGGGAAACAAAAACTATTCAATAAACGGAAAACAAACACAGGGAAAAAATGCAGAATAGCTGTAATGTGTTCAGATTTTTATAAGAGTATCATCAGACAACCTGCAGAGTTTTGCAGATATTATAAACGACTAAGTGCTTTTGTAGGTAAACAAATATGAAATAAATTGCAGTAATCCAATAATGATGTGTAAGGCATGAATTACAGCCAGGGTTGTAAAATACCTGGGTAAAATACTTGATTCCTGTACTTAATTGTACTTATTATTGTGGGGGACTTTTACTTTACTCAAGTGCAATTTAAATATTTTTTACGCCTTACAATTATATTTCAATTTGAAAAGTACATGTTGTTTCAAGTGCTGTCGCTTGAAAATTATCAGGGATTCAGCATTCCGGATAGGGGTGGGAAGTTCATTCCACCAGCCAGGAATGGTGAACGAGAATGTTCTGGAAAGTGATTTTGAGTGATTTTTGATTTGAGGAAGACTAACTCTGGGGAGAAGAATTGTTGAATAAAGTCGTCATTTTTGTTTTCTTTGTGCATAAAAAATATTCTCGTAGTTGAATATTGAAGTTGAGCCACTTATGTCACATGGACTGTTTTACCTATGTCCTTGCTATGTTTCTGTGTCTGGGAACATTTCAGTTGCGTAGCTGTCTATGGGAGGGTCAGAGAGCTCTCAGATTCCATCAAAAATATCTTAATTTGTGTTTCGAAGATGAACGAAGGTCTTACGGGTTTTGAACGACATAAGGGTGAGTAATTAATGACAGAATTTTCATTTTGGGGTGAACTAACCCTTTAATAAACACCCCTTGTACGGCAAAACACCTTGTCATTGTCTCGAGAACGGTACAGTATTTTAAAATTATTTTTTCTCTGCTATAACAGTGTTTGTTATGGCAAAACAAGCAAGAAAAGCGGTGATGCTGATAAACACATTACTCTAATGGTCTGATGATATTGCTGACATTTTATTAGTTTCACATTATTGGTTAGAGTGAACGTGAGCATACATCTTAAAATTCAGCTGTGATAGAAGAATATTCAAACTTTTACAAGAAAAATGCTCTGCGCTTCTGGATCATATAAACACACACAGACATCAAGAATCAGTGTATGAATCTCAACAACAGTGATGTGATTCATGCTGCAATGCATTCTGGGTGCACCATAAAACACTCAACCATAGTTGCAACCTGTGTTATGTCTCTGTTGTTGAGATTCATATTCTGATTCTTGATGTCTGTGTGTGTCTCAAATGCTTCAAGTGTTCAAGATGTTAAGTGTACAACATGTTTATTTTAAACTGCTGGATTCCATGCTGTAAAATCACAGAGCCTCTATAAATAACATGAACTTAACAACACATCTCCTGTAATAATAATAATAATAATAATAATATGCTTGTTCAAGATGCATCAGCGTTGCGCAGACTGAGCAGCGTATGACATCAAAATACCATAATACCAATTCAAAAGTCCTCTGCCCTCCAGTCGCTCTCACAATACTTTTGTCATACGCCGATGCATCTCGAACAAGCCTAATAAGATCACTGAATCAAACTACAACGTGATAATGTCATCATGATGATAGCCAATATCATCTGATCATATTCTCTCTTGCTTTTCTTGCCATAACAAACAGTTACAATAGCCAGAGGGGGAAAAAAAAAAAACGTAATAAAGTTAATTTTACTCAAATCAAACAGCCCAATCATCCTCTGCTAAGATCTTGAGAGATTTAATGTCTTCTTTTATCTTCAGTTGATTTAATTTAAAGCTGTGGCTGGAATTCGGTTGTAGTTTCTGCTCGTCTCTTCTCTTTTTTCAGTCTAAACATGTTGCTTTAGTTGATGGTCGTTGACTGTTGTTTCCATTAATGGTAAAGGTTTGGTACACTGTGCTGCTATGCATTTTACCATTTTTTTTATTTTTAACTTACTTATTTTTTTCACAACCAGTGTGATTCTGGTTGTGAACAGCAGGTGTCATCACGAATGGTCAATCATCACTTGACTAATCATTTAATTATCTCATTAACTCCAGCATTGCTTAACAGTAATAAACTATAAATGATGTTTACATCAAGCAACATGCACAGCTCTCATAAGCTTTACACTAACAGTCAGATTTACTAAATGAAACTCAAATATAGTGAAAGATCATTGCATGTAATAGAAAACAGTTATGTGAACTCAATTACTGATAAGGAGAGTAAATGTCGAAATGAGCTGTTTATGGCCCGGTTTCACAAACAGGGCTTAGCTTCAGCCAGGACTAGGCCTTAGTTAAATCAAGATATTTAAGCAACTTTTACAAAAAAATGTCTTGGAAGAAAACATCTAACATCTATCATCAGATAGGTACTCTATCACATACCTTGTCAGTGTCGTGCGCTTGCTTAGACCTTTGTTGTGATAAACAGTAAACCCTGTTGAAAAAAACAGCATATGCTGGTTAGGTATGTTTTGACGCTGGGATGCTGGTTTAAGCTGGTCCTTTGCTGGTTTATGCTGGTTTAAACTGGTCCTTTGCTGGTTTATGCTGGT